CTTAATATGCTATATTTTGATGGATTTTATGCACCCATCAACAACAGCTGTGTTTTAGTGATTAATAGTAAAAAGCAGTTTAATACATGTGAAATAAAATTTTGTCATTGTCATAAACAAATAATCCCAAGACAAACATATTACTTGGTGTTGTGCTTAGAGCTGTTTGGCAAAGAGGTTTAAGGGTAAACTTTACAGGCAGACTTGTGTATTTATGAATACACGGACAATACCTTTTGATAACAGGATGGGTGTTTGGTTGGAATTGTTATCAATGAATCATACAATATACACGTGAAAAAAAAAGGAGTCACATAATTAAAAAGTTGTTTTATTGATGCACAGTACATGTAAATGATTATGTAAAGGTCCTCTGAAGCTGCTGGTACCTCTACATATAAAAGCTTTAAAACATCACACACCTGAGAAGATCAAACAATTTCATAATCAAGTTGCAATTGCCAGGAACACATGTTTATATTTTATCATACATGTTTTAATATATGACCACTACTTTGTATTTACTCAACATATTCAGGAACTTGCAAAACAGAATAAAATCTTTATGCTTTCCATAAAGATTCCAAATGGGCCAAATTATTAAACTATTTTAATACAATGGTTTACCCACACAGATAAATGACAATATTTTTATGTAAGCTTTATATGTATAATGATTAGGCTGTTTTATTATATGGCTGTGGATCTGTGTTTATTCAAATGGATTCCATGGATTGTATATTATCTCATACAAAGCATGAAGTCTATTCCAAATGGCCTCAAAACCCCCCACAACTTCCTTTTCAAAAGGTTCTGGGACTGGAATGGGGACTGATTCAGATGGAACAGGAACAGATGGAATAGATGGAACAGATGGAACAGGAACAGATGGAGCAGAAGCAGATGGAACAGATGGAACAGGAATGGATGGAACAGATGGAACAGATGGAACAGATGGAATAGATGGAACAGGAACAGATGGACCAGATGGAACAGGAACAGATGGAACAGATGGAACGGGAACAGATGGAACAGATGGAACAGGAACAGATGGAACAGATGGAACAGGAACAGATGGAACAGGAACAGATGGAACAGATGGAACAGATGGAACGGGAACAGATGGAACAGATCCCTTTCCAAACTTTGATTTGATCAACAAAGCTGAGACAATTGCAAATAATCCTGTGATGACAGCAAAACCCACAAAATATTTAAGCCATGATTTTTGTGCATTTTCCATGTGTCTCTTAATGATGTTAACTTTAGCCTGCTTTCTGATCTCTTCCTGTGACAGATTTTCTGATGACTTTCTAACCCGATTTTCCTCTTTTTGAATTTCTGTCTCCAATGTTTGGAGCTTTTCATTAGTGTAGTATCCTCCATTGTTTTCTGTCACTATATCTTCTATGCTATTGAGCAGCTCTGCCACCTGGAACTTGTTGCTTCTATATTCATCTTCCTGGTTGTTCTTCCAGTATTTATTGTCAATGACGTGGCACCGACTCCCACACTTCCCCACCAGATCACTCAGAGCCTCACTTTCATTAACAAAATCCTTGATCTTCATTCCTTCAGGGAGCTGGTCACCATGAGTAAAAACAACTGCAGCATATTTAAGAACATCTTCAGAGAAATGTTCACATAATTGTGCGATGACAGCCTTTTCGTGCTCTGTGAATTTCTCTGCTTTGAGCACAATAAGAAAAACATGAGGACCCGGAGCACACTCTGTAATACAGCTCAACATCTCATGCTCCAACTTCTCAGACCTGCTTGGGTCAAAGAAACCAGGAGTGTCGATTAAAGTTAGGCTTCTTCCATCAACAGTCTTGGTCTCGCTCTGAGACAAACATGCGTTTGAGTCATTAAAATGATTAATCTTCAATCTGGTCTCGCCAAATATGGTATTAGCCAGACTGCTTTTCCCAGTTCCAGTTTTTCCCAGCAGGACAATCCTCCTTGTCTTTGTCACTGGAAGAAAAAATGAATAGATGAAAAAATCAGATTAACTCATTACATCATCTGCTTCCTGACATCACTGATCAATTATCAGATTTCAGATCAAAAATCTATCAACCCAGTATCACAGCAAAACGTGTAATAGACACGCCGGACCACCGTGTCTATTTCACACCATGCCTCTCCAAAACGTGAAATGGAGATGTATGAAGAATTTTTTGCGACCAGCAGGGGGCGATGATATATTAAGCTAAGAAGTCAGTAATACACAAAAAACCATAACTGCATAAGTACATTCAATTGTCCTTAACAGTCACAAACTATTAAGCTTAATATGTATATACATGCAAATATGTTAATTATTTTTGTTTAATGCTTTCCCACAATTATTTTCGTGTTGGCTTGAAATAAAAAAGCTCCCTCTGGTGTTACTGCAACTTCTGCATGCTTGTCTTTGTCACGCTTTGGAGAGTCAAAGTGTTAAACAGACATGGGGGATATATGTGTCTGTATGTACCCTATCTCCTTAAAGGATGCCCCTGTGTCTGCAAGATTTTGCATGAACAATGTCACATATATGTTTTGACAAAATAGATTAGTTATAAATCCCAACTCTTTCTGGACTCGCTTTACCAACAAACATTTTTATCAGTTAATAAATTAAAAGGGGTGATTTGTATTGTTTGTTTGTTTGTTTTTTGCTTTTTGCTTTAAATTACACACAAAGAAATGTGCTTCAAACCCAGTATCATTCTGGTTGATTTGAAGGAAAATATCACTGACATCTCCAGCATAAGAGTGTCTGAAATCTTTTAGCTAATCATTCATCAGTGTCATTTATTGGTCCTTGTGATTACGCTGCATATAGAGACTTCAACCAAACAGATGCAAGTGCAAATAAAGTAAATTTAAGGCATGTTTGAGATTTTCAAAGAAAAGCATGAAATATCTTACTGCAGTACTAAACTGCAAGCCATGTGTCAACAAACAAGCGTTGATAACCCAGAAATCTTGCTTGTATTTATAAGATTGATAAGGCTTAGAGCAGCAATACTGTTAAACACTTTTTCATAGCAAAATAGTTCTTGAGATTAACTCAGTTAATTAAAAATATAGGTCACAGTTTAGGATTTTGATTACTAGAGTGATAAACACTCATACTTTGGAGTAATGTCTATTTAATAGTCACTTACCCTCCATGCTCTCCAGAAAATAGAAGTCTGTCAAAAATATAGTCTGGTTCACGATGTGTCTCTGCAGTGAGTCGTTTGCTTTTGTTCTCGTACTGTGACTTACCTTATGCTTCGCTTCTGCTACCTGTCTAACTTGTTCTCTGGGTTTTAGCCAGAATGAGTGAACAAAACACTGCGCACAGTGTACGTTTACATATAATAATCCACAGTACTGCAACACAGAGATAAAGATAATAACTAGGTGCATGACCCAAAAACACGATACAAGAAGAAAGAAAAAGTTAAGCTGTATTTCATTGACCTTACGGATTTCTTTTTTTAAAATATTTTTATTTCTGTTGTACAGAAAAGTGGAATTGATTTCTGCTTGAATATATGAATACTTCTTATATTGGCCTTTAAACCCTTACCCTACACTACTAACTCCATAGCTTCTTTGTTCTGTGAAATACATATAACTTATTCAAAGTTTGGATTTATGTTAACAAAATACAAACGTCTGCATTTTCTTTTAATTTATTTAGTCTCATTTGTTGCTGCATTTGTCAGTCAGTAACTTTTATACAATCTGGAAACATGAGCAACACTTAAAAACATTAAAACTGACATTACAATAAAGTTTGTCGAAGATCAAATCTGTCAGTGGTCTGTCCACTCATCCCAGCAGTTTCCATTACTGCTCTGGTTTAAAAATGGCTGTGGTAGATTTGGCTGATCCTGTAAAACTTTATCAGCTGGTTCAACTGAAGTAAAGTCAGCGGAACCCAAATTAAGTAAAAATGAAAGTCACTGTTTAAGATGTCACTGCCTCTTAAACAGGTTTGGCTAAACCTGCTGAGGAGGTTTAACAAGTTCAGCTGAATTATTTAATCAAAATGAAAGTAACTGAAAGTAAAAGTTATCATTAACATGAGGCCATCTAGCTAATAATTGTCAAGAAAATTGTCAAGAAGTTGAAGAAACTTGGTTACATGTGGAACAATTAGCTGCTTTATTAGTGAAGACTTCTAGCAAAGAAAACATCAAGAAAAAGAAGCAACAGTTATTTGAAAGTTATAGATCTCTTATTGTAACACCCAGAGATTTTTTTAAGCTGGAGTAATGGACATATTCATGGGTAAATTCTGAAATATAAACTGCAACATAAAGGGTTTTATAGCATATGACGAGGGGAAAAAAATCACATTCTTACATATTATTAAAAAAAAGCTACTTCATTTATATGTTAAGAGTAAGTATTCAACAAAAACTCTTAAGTAAGACATTTTGTACCGTGCAAATACAGAAATCAAATCATGAGGAACAAAAGGATTCCAAAATGTCTCATTCTATAATTTTAATAAAGACTCCATGATGGCAACTTATAAAGGTGAATGTGAGTAGTTGTGCCCAGTTTCCTAGCAGTATATGCTGATCCTGTACATCTGTGGATTGTAAAGGTACTTTTTTGAGAGCTTTGATGATTGAAAAATTCTGATATTTAATTTATAACCTGTTTTTACATTTAAAAAAATAAACAAAGTGTGCTGTAGTGTTGTAGTCTCCTTTCTTTGCTTCATCACTGTGCACCAGTTTCATGTCCGTGAAACGTGGTACTCCTGGTTTTATTTGGCTGCTGGCTCTGCAGATGCAGCAGGAACTGTGCTAGATGATGTTGGTGCATTGTTTTTAGCTACTTTTGCTGCAGCTGCTATTCCCAATGCTACTCCTACTCCTAGTCCTACTAAACCTACAGTGCTGTATTCTTTCCCTAATTGTATCGTACCACCCAGGAATGCACCTAACAGATCCCCTGTTGTAACTACTGCAACTTTTGACAACAGATTTTTAAACACATAATGTTTTGCCTTTGTTGCAGTTTCCTCTTCTTTAATGTTTGGAGATGACTGTTTGATGCGACCTTCCTCTTGTTGAATATCTCTCTTCACTTGTTGCAGCATGTCATTGGTGAAGTAGCCTCCTTTGTTTGCCTCAATAATCTTGTCAATGGTTTTGAGTAATTCTGCCACCTGATACTGGTTGTTCCTGTATTCATCTCCGTGGTTGTTCTTCCAGTATTTGTTATCAATGACGTGGCAGCGGCTCCCACACTTCTTGATCAGATCGCCCAGAGCTTCACTTTCATTCACAAACTCTTCGATCTTCATTCCCTCAGGAAGCTGGTCACCATGAGTAAAGATTATTATAGTAAATCTAAGTGCTTCATCTGAGAAATATTGGTTCATTTTTTCTATCACACCCTTTTCTTGCTCTGTGTATTTCTCCACTTTAAGAACAATGAGAAAAACATGAGGACCAGGAGCACATTCTGTGATACACCTCACTATTTCAGACTTCATCTTCTTCTCAGATTTTTCTGTGTCAAAAAATCCAGGAGTGTCAATAAATAATATGGTTCTTCCACCGATATTCATGTCCTCTGACTGACATTCACTTGTTCCAGAATTGGGGGTATGATTTACTTTAAACACAGGCTCTCCACACAGGGTGTTGGCAATACTGCTCTTTCCAGCTCCAGTTTTTCCCAGGACCACAATCCTTCTTTTTGACTCTATAAAACAGTAATGATTCGGTGTCAGTTATTTATCTATTACTTTGTCAAAAACAGTGCAAGAAATAAACAGTAAATTGAAGTGCAAGTAAAACTGCATGCTGTTTACAAGCCAGTCAGTACTGGCTTACAAGTAAATATGGAGGAGTAGAAAAATGTAATTTCTCTGATTGTTGATCAAAGTTTAGACTTAGCTGTTCAGATGGTGGCTACAACTAAATCATTTAGAATTATTAACTCTATCAAGCATACACTCTGTATTATTCTGTTATAAAATACAGATTTAGAGTCTTGAATATATTAGATAACATTTACATAACTACTTTAGGTATTCAGTGGAGTAGATCATGTTGACTGAGAAAAACAATCACTTTCAGAGAACTTTCTTCCTTTGTGATTCCACATTTCTGTTAATCATTAATGCAGAAAACATTATAATAACTGCGACTTACCGTCCATGTTTTTGAAAGCTAAATCAGTGCAGAGACACACGATTACTCAGATCCTGTGGACGTTGTGACTGCGCCGTTCGGTCGTTTCTGTACTTGTTGGACTTGTTTCTCAGCAGCAAACTAAAGTGATGAGCTTACCTCATAGTGTGTTTTTCTTTTTTTTCCCCACACCTGGCAACAGCATGAGAAAACTATTGTGCATATTTAAATGTTATTTATTTAAATAAATTAATAACAAAAACACAATTTTTCTTTTCATTTTTATATAAAAATCTTGGCGAGCATATTGTTATAACCCAAAGTTAAATATGTCTGTAGCAAATATGACATAAGCAAAAGAGAGTTTATACTTTTTATACTGTTCTAGAATACTATAATGAAAAGTTTTACTATATATACATAAAAGGTGTGTGTTACGTATTTGAAATCTTCAAGCAGCTGTTTCCTTTAGGGTTCGCCTCAGTTGATCATCTGCTTCCATCTCACCCTAACCCTTGCTTCATCCTCTGTTACACCAACACTCTCACTCTTTGAGCAAGTGTTTGGGCATCAGTGAGAAGAAAAAACTCAATTTTAACAGGGAGAAAAAGGAAATGAGGGCACAGGCATAACTATATAACTTTATTATTATTATTATAACATTATTCCAATATATCAAAAATACAAAATAAACTCAAAATGCTGCGTCACAGACACAGCCATCCGACAATTGTAGTGTATACGGGAGGATTCAGGTCACCTGATCGTGCCCTAACTATATGCTTTTGCAAAAATGAATGTTTTAAGTATTGTATGAGTATGAGCACCCTGAGAGCGGAGTGCTCTAATGGGGTGATTTGGTACTATATGGTCTTTAAGATAAGATGGGACCTGATTATTTAGGATTATTTAGCCATGTCTTTCTAATTTTGTTTCCATCTTTGTCAAACTTGGTCACTGCTAATAAAAATGTTATCATCTGCAACTCTACCAGGGCTACGTGATCATTACATCTGTCTCCCTCTCGTTCACACAGGTATTCTATAATTCTACTGTACATAGTTACTCCCTACACTCACTACAGTTCACACTGAAATGTACTGAAATGTGCACACTATAAATAGATTCAGTTACTGCTGGGATAATGAATAATTACACCTAACTTAATGAATGTCTTTTTAGTTAAATAGCTGACTTGTTTTTACCCCATGAGAGTTTGGTGAACTGTCCCTGTGCCATATGACAGCTGGGCAGGCTCCAGCCTCACTATAACCCTGATTTGGATAAGCAGAATAAACTGGATGGATGAATACTTTTCTTTTTTTTCTCTCATTCTCTGTTCAGCTGCTTTTGCATCTTTTTCTGACTTTGATCAGTTACATTCATTTTCATATTCAAAACCAAGGCAGCTACAAGAGAGCCTTTGTTGAGCTGGGTAATTCATTTTCACTTGCAACAGAAAAATCACACAGAAGAAGGACTAGGAAATGTAAGTCAAGTTTAACATGATTTATATTTGACCTGAAATACAATCTAAAATCCAATTATGATGACACTTTGTCATTTTGTCAGATTTAGCAAATAAAATGATTTGCCATCATAATTAGAGTCATAATGTAATATCTAAAAATCCAGAAATGTTTGGCTAAAATGAAGGGAGTCTTTCAGATATTCAAGTAAAAATTCTACAGTGCTACAATCATTCACCTTTTTTTATACATACACACACAGACACATATATTACTTTAGGAATTTTTTGTTGACTTCACATTAGAAATGTTTTAGCTAGCAGAACAAAGATGCAGAAGAATCTGTTTCTGCTCTTCTGGGTAAGTGGATGATCTTATCAATCATACAGCAGTACTATTAGCTTAAAGCAATAAGAGTGATTCTGGACTGATGCACCTGTTAAATGGCAGTAATGGTGAAATAATTGTCTTCGGAGCCTTATATAAATGAGAGGAACAGTGTAACTGATTTTCTGTATTAACCATTTTCTTTTATGATGAATTGTTTGAATTAGTTTCAGTTGAATAGTTTTTAAGCTGTACAAACAAACCACAAGGAGTAATAGCTTTTCTCTGTATCTATTATTGTACGGTCTACTGTGCAATATAAAGCGCCTTGAGGCAACTGCTGTTGTAATTTGGCGCTATATAAATAAAATTGAATTGAATTGAATTGAATTAATATTTATTTATTTATTGCCACTGTTTTTAGGTCAGTATTGCGTCTTCACGTGTTCACTCTACAAGTACCACTTAATTGAAGAGAAAAAAAAATGGGATGAAGCACAAACACACGGACCTGGCAACACTATTTAACAATGCAGATGTGGAGAGACTTTAAGACTGTGAGACTCTGCAGATAATTCTGACAATGCCTGGGTTGGACTGTACAGCATCCCTGGACAAGAAAACAGAAGATGGCACTGGTCTCTGCCAGGAGTCGAGTTCAATAATACTGATGCTAGCAGAGACGTATCATTTGGCTAGCAGAGAGCCAAATGATATATCTGGCTTAGAAAACTGTGCATGAATGGACAAACCAAATATTTTGACTCTTCCCATAGGAAGAGCACCGAGGGAACTTATAGCAGAGACAATTGTTGCATAAAATTTAGGTGAAACATTAAGGGTCCTGGTATCGTGGAAATAGAGTAGAATAGACTACAAATAGGCTATAAAGGTGAAATCCTGTGTTTTGTCTCATGTCTACTTTTTTTCTCCCTGCATTTGAGCTGCCATGTGCATTTTTATATTATAGAGCAAGGCCAAAGTTTACTTACTTTTACCTTACTTTTTAGACAAAAATGTCAGCAGTTTTTAGGTGTGTCTGCATGTTTGTGCTAAATGATAACAAAAAGGTTAGTGTAATTAAACAGGTGCTTTTGTGACAGTGATGTTGGGGGGAGCTGGAGGCTGGCCCCGTTTGAAGTCTTTAACTCATTTTATTGGTTTTATCTAAAAAAAGGAAAACATAATCACAATCAGGGTGAGACTCACGCATGCTCCAGCTTCATGTGAGGCAGCTTTACCAGAGCAAGTCTCTGAGAGCGACAGGTGCATATTCGCACAGCAACAAGTCTGGACCAAATAACAAAACGCTGAATTGACCATTTGAGCCCCGACCAAGGACTCCACCCTGAACATCAGTGAAGCCATTTAAAATAGAGATGGCCCTACCCTTTACCAATGAGGAAACTTATGACACTTGTAGTAAATAAGAGAGCTAAACATTAAACATTGGCCAGTGAGACTGTGAGGGACGGTTTTTAACCTGACCAATGAGCCAACTTTAAGCCCTTCTGAGTGAATCACACAGAGGTTTAGAAATCTTTGCAGATTTTGGAGAGAAAAAAACACAACTCCTGACCAGCTTTTCTGCACCTGTTTTATCATCACCTTGTACCAGCAGTGATCAGTGTTGCTGTGGCCCAAACATCACTCTGTAAGAGATTTTTTGATAAACTGACAAAGAGCCTTTTTTTACCGCCACTAAAGAAGACTCTGCCTTTGGATCTGATCCAGCACACCTCAGGAAAGCAGCGACACATAAAAGACTGTGACTTACAAGAAGCGGTCGACATTTGATGACAGATCTTAGATAATCGTGACATACTGTATTTGAGAGTGAAAAGGAAAGTAGAGGTGTGTAAGTGCTCTAAAATTGTATATTATGCTTTTAAAATGTGAAATGTGATGTGATTTTAAGCACCAAAGAACATGATTTTTAGAAAAATGTTATTCTTATGTTTTGAACGTATGTGTGATTTTTAAAAAAAATCTATCACTATTGTATGCCTTATAGAAAATGTGTTAATTGTATGTATTTGTAATCATGTATCTTTGATAAATAAAATAACAACAGTCACTTGGAAGTGAGACTGTTAATCACAAAAATGGTGGACAGAAAATAATTTTCCAGTTTAGAATAAATCAGAATGAATCAGATGACTCAGTTAACATTTTGGATTTATTTACATAATATCAAGGAGTTTATGACTTCTCTGTTTTTCTTTTCTCAAAGAAAAGACATAAAACTTCACAATATGTGAAGTTACAGCACAATTTACCCAGATGTACTTCTTTTTCAGTCAGTGTCCTTTTACAACATCCATATTAGCTCAGGTAATGAAAATACAATTATGACATAGACAGGAAGTAAACTTTAACATTTGAAGTTCAAGTCTTGCTTAGACGATGTGAAGCATCTCATGGACCTTTTTTCTTGGATTATCCATCAACCTTATGCAAATCCATTGTAATTTATTTGAACAAATAAATGTTCTTCTGTGATGCATTTACTTTACTACATAAACTAGACGTTAGTGTTGCCAACGTTAACATTTCTCATGTCACCATCGAGCATTTCTAAAACCTAACTTCAGTATATGCAGTGTGGACTCCCAGATGGAAATAGCAATGAATCTATATATTCAAAGTTTTCATCAGGCTACCTTTAACATTTTCAAGGTTTTTGTTTTATGTTTTAAATGAAACATTTCAGCATTTTGTATATTTTCTAAAATGGCACAGCCTCTCCTTCTGAACATCTTCTAATCATGTCGTCCCTATTTCAGTAGCGGCTGGGGCTGAAGACAAACGGCTGCTGCTGGAGGAGCACCGGAGCCAGGGCAGCAAACATTGGATAGTGCCACAAGCAAAGTGTGTGTGTGTGTGTGAAACATAAAAATAAAAAGCCAAACAACAAGCGGGTCCTGTCAGGTTTACATTATCATATACCAATAATATAATAATATAATATAACCAATATACATAATATGACCAGCTCCCAGGTAGAATTAATGTTGTTCACTGTAAGAAACTACAAAGTTTCATCAATAGTTTTTATTTCTGTAAGCACTACTAAAAAAAAGGAAAAAGGAAAAAGGATATATACATTTCCATATAATGTGTACGTGATTCATTGAATTATAATGTGACATAATCAAGTTTAAATCAAAGCATTCACCCCTACTTCTTAAAATCTACAAGTAACAAACACTTAGTTTGTTACAAGTAAAAGTAGCATTTTTAGCATTTATTCAAGGAAAAGTAATGTTTGGCCAGCACTA